GAATTATTTCTCAAAGGCCATTTACGAAAGTTTATAGAAAAGCAATAGTGCGCGAGGCAAGGTATCGACGCCAAGACATGGCAGCCACCTTTAGTGAAGGAGTTTTACAACGGTAACACCAAAGGGTGAATACACTAACAATGTTCCAAATTGTTACATCTGCGTGATGCGTCTCATCGCGGAAGACACAAGCCAAAGAGGCATATGCACCCGGATGAAAAAAAAAACCGTAAACAATTCAAAGAAAATAAAAAAAAAAAAAAATTCTGCGGCAGACAATTTGATGCGTGAGACCCGCTTCAAATTTCAAGTCATTTGGACATTTTAGCAGCTCTCAGCAAAATAGACAAATCAGGCTAAAATAGTACATGACAGTAAACATTTTTATAGACCCTCAATTTGTCTTTTTTGCTGAGAACTCCTCAGATGTCCAGATGATATGAAAATTGAAATGCACCTCACAATTTTTTTTGGGATTTTTCTAATATTTGTTTTGATTTTTTTTAGTCGATACAGGTTCAGGTGAGCTTGGATGCAGAGATTGGATTTTCGGTCAAAGAGTGAAATCACTAACAATGTTCCAAACTGTTACATCCGCGTGATGCGTCTCATTGCTGAAGACACGAGCATTGCGCGAGTCCCGTGGCATGCACCCCCGTGTAAAAATGATGTTTTTGCCATTTCGCTAGATGAAATGTTCACGTGGTCTGTTTGGCCCCGGCGACCTTTCAAAAAAAATATAATCATTCATTTGTGCAGACAAGATTCTGAAAATCGTCCATATAATTACTCATCCTTTTGGCGAAGAAACAATTATTGGTACAAGACAATTGTGACCTCAAGCTAATACACGACGACACGGTCCTTTTAGTTTCCTGGAAACGGTGAGTGATCTGACAAATAACAAACAATTAATCATAGTAAACTGTAAACAACAACAACCACGATCAACCACTGTAGCCGGCGCGACGCGAGGCAGTCCAGCCCGAGAGATCCGCTAGTTCTTCTCCTTGTCCTTGTTCTTGGACGGGACGCGCCCGTCGGTGCCGGCCAGTATGCCGTACTTCTCCTTGCGGGTGATGGTGGTGCACTCGAAGCCGAGCTGGTCGCTGAGCGTCTTCTGGATGTAGTTGGCGACCTCGATGGGCGACTTGCCCCCGCCGCAGGTGAGCTCCTTGGGCAGCATGTTGAGGAAGGTGACCTCGTAGACCGGCCGCGGGTTCATGAAGAAGAAGTAGGGGTCCATGAGCTTGAACCCGCGCACGGTGGAGCCGTGGAACATGTGCTCCCTGGTGTTGATCGCCACCGGCACGATGCGGTCCGTGAGCTCGGCGAAGAGCGCGCTGAAGCGCAGCAGGTAGGGCTCCCGGCAGGTGGTGCCCTCGGGGCAGATCACCAGGTCGCCCTCCTCCAGCAGCCGCCGGATGTTCTCGGCGTCCTTGTCGCGCTCCCGCGTCAGCGCCACCGCCTTGATCGGCGAGATGAGCTCCGAGAACTTGGAGATGCTGTAGGTCACGCAGCTCACCTTGCGGCCGAGCGCGACGGCGACCTCGATGGGGTCCAGCACGGTGCGGTGGTTGCACACGAAGAGCACGCCCGGGCTCCCCTTCTTGGGCGGCGGCGGCGGGGTCCCCTTCACGATGAGCCGGATGCCCATCATGTGGTAGATGTAGAAGACGATGCGCTCCGGGAGGGGCAGGTTGATGTACACGCGGAGGAGGGCGAGGGCGAAGCCGAACGGCATCCAGAGGAAGGTGACCTATGAAGCACCGATACGTCCAGAAGCTGTGTATCGGCGTATAATACGTCGCCGATACTCCGATACGTCCGATACGCCATCGATACGCGTATCCATGGAGTATCTCGTTTTTCGATTTAAAAACAACGAAAAAAATGCTGATACGGCCGCCAGGACGGCGCCGACACGTCGGGGACACGGGAAGCCCAGTACGAGCCCACTCGTAACCCTAAACAGCCAGCGTACCCAATTCGCTAGGGCGGTAGACTGGATCGTCGGGCGAGCACATCGTTGTAGACGACTTCAGTCTCTCGTCGCCGCAGCCGCCTGGAGTCGCTCGTTGCCGCCGCCTGGGCGTGCTAGCTGTGTGTGCTTATTTCCGCCATGCATGCGTGGTTGTAGTTTATGTGTGCGTGCTTGCTCACTGCTGAGTAAATTGATGATGATTCAGTCATCCAGGAGGCGAGGATTGAGTAAAGTGATGATCAGTCACTCATTCAGTCATCGAGAAATAGGCATGGATGCAACAAATGGGTTGTATTTTGACCTCATCTCAGGCATTCAATTCATTGTCTTCATAATAATATGACATTTTATTAATTATTTATATATACTCGCCGTATCGCCGTATTGCTGTTTTCATAAATTGCCGTATCCCGTATTCCCGTATCCGTATCGCCGTATCGATGTTGCTTCATAGAAGGTGACGAGCGCCACCAGCGGCGTCGGGCGCTGCACGAGGCGGCCGTCGTGGAGGATGAGGGGCGTCAGCAGCTGGTTCTTGGGCACCGGGCTGTACTTCCTCGACGTGACAAGGTAGGCTTCCTGCATGCACAGCCACAGTGAGTGCTCAGCGTCCGGCACTGTGTATACTGTTTATCTTGATCAGCGTGCCCAATTAATTTTGTCATGTGCAGCATCTCAGTACGGGTGTACTGTTTATTTTGATCCGCATACCCAATTAATTTGGCCAAGTACCATTATCTTGGTACAATTGTACAAGTACTTGCTCAAATGAATTACATTTGAAATCGTTGTGCACTTGTGCTAGCTATTGAATCGGTACTGCTTAGTGCAATTTGAGTGCAAGTCATCTCCCTAGTGAAAAGCGCCGTAAATTAATTAAGCAGCCAACGATTAAGGCCAATTGAACTACTCTATCTTGGACTGAATACTCGCATGGTGCTCGTTTAGCCATTCTAAGCGTGCATCCCAAGTGCAAAAATTTCAAAAGAGTGCAAGTACTGTGTACTGTTTATTTTGATCAGGATACTTAATCAAATTCGCCATGTGTGCCACCTCAGTACAGTCGTACTTTACCATAATGAATTATAGTAGGTTTGAATCGCTGTGCTTTCGATTCAGTACTGCTAGCTTAGTGCAATTTCAGAATAAGCTCTACTCCCTCCGTCTCATATGTAAGACTTTTTTGACATTACATTAATGTTAAAAAATATCTTACATTATAGGACGAGGAGTACTTAAATAGTTTAAATCTGAACAAAACCACATACTTATTTTAGGACGGAGGTAGTAAGAGTTTCTTAGGGAAGAGCAAGTAAATTTTATTTCTAGTACTCGCTAAAAAAACTTCAGTAGTACTCACTATAGACTACATATTGAGCAAAATGAGTGAATCTATACTTTAAAAAAAATCTATATACATGCGAATGTAGTCTTTATAATGAAATCTTTAAAAAAACTTATATTTAGGAAAGGAGGAAGTAATAAGCATGAATTAAGATCCAATTGAACTATACTCCCTTTGTCCAAAAATACTTGTTTTTAAAATGATTGTGTCTAGATTTATTTTAGTTATAGATACATCTATTTTATTCATTTCTAAGACAAGTATTTTCAAACAGTGAAAGTATTACTTTGGAGTAATGAAGATCACAGGCAGCAGTGAGCTGTGAGGCAGCGAGGCCAAAATACAGTACTAGGCCTGCTCGTACCAGAACGGATGTGCAAATTAACTCCAAATCTGGCGCCATAAATACGTGGCCAGCCTAGCCACCCCTACCAAGAGAGAAATTAGTTATATTTACAGAATATCATTTGTAGTGTTTTTTTCAATATAAAAAAAACCTCCCTTCACTGATATGGAATTGACAGCAGCCATACTGCTCACCACCTGGCCCTAATTTCCATCACTCATTGGCCAAACCAAGAGTTAGGAAGAAAAACTTGATATAACAAGAAAACAATGGATTGATCGCCTTTTTAGCTCAGGAAATGAAAGAAAAGGGCTATCTTATCAATCTATGTAGATTAAGTTTTAGATTTTTTTTGTGCAGTCGTGGAAGACATGGTTTGAAAACTATATCCCATTTATTTCGATTTTGCTACATAATCCTTTTGTTACATAATCATCGTGCAGGTGACGGATGTGCAGGAGAAGATATTGAAACGATTTTGTCTGAACATAACAGTGCATATCCAGAAAAACCACTCATCTCTCCTGACCCGTCAGAAAAAAGAACGAAGCGGAACATGGACAACGAAGCACCGGAGCAAGTGCCAGCACCAACTTCGAGCAGGGAGCTACAAAAAGACAGGCCATCAGAAACCAAGACTGTAGTTCCTCCTATAACAAAAAGACAAAAGACAAAGGACAAAACTCAACTCATCAGCGACAGTGCTACCTTGCAGCAGCAGCAGTAGCCAAGACCTCTAATGGTGCTCCCGCCAGCAGTTACAGGGGTCAAAAATGAACTAACTAAAACCAAAAAGAAAAACAAAAGACAACGGTTGGAAGAAGGCGAGGATGATGCCAGCAAAGAGTCAGAGCATGATGCTGCCGACGACGATGATGGCACAAAACATGATGATGACCACTTTCGTGCAGAGGGCGATGACGCCGCAGGGGACAACGGTGGCGCCGCAGAGGACAACAACAATGATGTAAAACACATTTTCTCTATAGATTTTTCCTACCGCTTTACACCCATGAAAACCAAACCATCCTCTATAACAAAACACTCTTTTTCTACACAGGGAAAACCAAGACAGAAGCGGACAAAGAGGATAAAGACAAGTGGCAAAGAATTGGCAGCACCAACGGATAATGAACATGAGGCAACAACAAATAAAGACAAATGCGAAATCAAGGCAGGAGCAGCATTTGATCAGGTCAATAGAGCATGGAAATTACTAAAAGAACGTCACCGACAAGATGTTAGGACGGCCGGGTTTGGAAGCATAGAGGAATGCCAAATAAAGCGCTCCATCTGCAAACCGCTTGCAGCACACATCTACGACAACCTGGACACAGAAAGCATGACAATAACATTTGATGACGCTGATCAGCTGAAAGTAATCAAGATTACCAGGGAAGCTATACACAAAGTGTTTGGATACCCAAACGACACGGAAAAGTCAGCACCAAGGCCAGAGAAGAGCCCAGCTTCAGTGAAAGAACTGATCAAAGAACTTGACCTCAAGAAAATGGATTTCCATCACGACGATCTGTTTAGTGAACTACAAAACTTGGTGAAAGTACATGACGAACAATCAAACAGGAAATCAGTTAAAATATTTTTCCTTATTTTTTTCCACAACATTGTCTATGGAACAACCTCCCCTACCTTCAGCAAACAAGCCATTATGGTCAATGACTTGGACTATCCAAAAATGGCAACGATGGATTTCTGCGAGGTAATCGTCGAAAGTATTAAGGAAGGAGCCAAGACATGGCAGAAGCACAGGTTGTTGCCTCAGGAAGAAAAGAACAAAAAGCATCTCAATGGTTTGGCACAGGGACCAGTAATAATGTACCTCGACTCCCTGCTGCTGCCGACCGACACAATAGAAATGCGCAAGATTGCAAAGACAATGGACAAGACATCATTACTGCGAGCAAACCACCTAATAGAGAGTGGCCTAAAGAAAATAGATATAGCAGACATGAAAAATGACGGAAAAGCACGACCAGATGACTATGAATTTGGCAAGATAAAGGTATATCCCTATTGAATATATATGCATTATACCTTATAAAAACGGTTTCCAGTCTAACCAACTCCATTCTGCCGAAACAATGCAGACATGGAAAGGAACAGAAGAGAGGATCTTCTAAGCCAGCACAGCAACACCTTCGCATACATTGCAGATAATATCAGCACAACAACAGGAGCACCAGCAGACGACCAAGCTACTACCACCACCAACCAAGCGCCAGGACAAAGCACATGTCAGCACGAGTGGAAGCAAGGAATCAGTCACAGGCACCAGCACAGGATCATATGAAATATTCGCAAGGATAGAAGAAACGTTGAAACAAGCACTTGACGAAACAAAACAAATACTGGGAATAAAGACCAGGGCTGGACACCAATGCAGCGAACAAGAGGAGGAATTAGATGAAAACATGAAGAACTCAGTGGTGCAACAAACAATGGCCCTGATTGATTCTCTCGAACAACTTAGAAAATTTCAGGACATTGTTTGCACAGTGAACTTACCAGAAGAGCCGTCGCTGAAGTTGCAGGATGGAGCAGACGCAGGAGCCACAGCTGCACTTGTACATGGCAACCACACGAAAGAACTCGCAGCCACAGCAGAACCAGGAGCGAGGAGAAAAAGGAAGAAGGAAGAAGAAGACCAACAAAACAAGCATGAAAGGAAGAAAAGAATAACAAAATCAAGAACACAGACCTTGAGAATTAGCCAGAGGGAGACAAAAGAACATAACAAGGTGCAAAAAGAGCAAAGAAAAGAGCATGTATCAACCAATACAGCAAGTGCTGAAGGACATCAAAAACAAGGTAGAAAAGTAGCTGCAGAAGCAGAGAATCAAGATGAAAAATAGGTAAATGAGAACAAATACATCATCCATGTAACTCGAAAGCGATGCTTTCAAACTTGAACGTAAAAAATATGTCTTCAGTTTTGTCAGGGACACGGCAAGAGAACGCCACCGAAACATAAAGGCCAACAGCAGCATGTCGTCAAGAACATCGAGCAAGAGGATGGAAGCAATAGAACAAGCAACCCAACAACAGATGATGCTCCCTCAAAAGCATCAACAGGAGCAGTACAAGAGACGAACAGGATCGGAGGCAGCAAAGAAGTGAGTATAAAAAATCAGTCTCTTCTTTCTAAAAAGTCTCTTCTCTCTAAACTAGAAACGGTCTTGAGTTAGCTGACAAATCTGCAACAAAATATAAACCCAGCCGGACAAGTATCATATCAACGCTCCCGCAAGCGAGGCACGGGCTGATCTAGCATCGACCGTTAACAGCACGGCACAAAAATAAGAAGAAAACAACAAAGAAGAGGTAAAACTTCCAAACCCATCTCGCCCAAATGCCATCAACTCATATTGTTTCATCTATCAGCTATTACAAGCACAGCAAAGAGAAGAGGATGCCCATTCAAAACAGAAAGTTGATATAGAACAGCTCTCCAGCACAAGAGCATTTCAGATGACCGATACAGGGGAGAAAGCCTCAGAGACTGCACCTGGTGACACACACAAGGCTGGTATACAAAGCAAAGAAAAAGTGGACGCAGAAACGGATATCCCAACCACCAGCGCAAAGGTAAAATTCAACAAGAACCATTTTTCCAAAATTTATAAGAAATGTCCTACCCAGCACAACCTGTTGCAGTAACACAAGAATTACAAGCAATGAATGAACCATGCTTTTCCTTTTTTCATGAAATGCAGGAAACAAACAAGGACGGTCATCCCGAAGAAGAGCAAGCGGTACAAATAGAACAAACCAAAAAACAAGGGCAAATGGCGACTAAAATGGTACCCAGTACGCCGACCAAACAGAAGTCGTCACATGACAAATACAACGGAGAATACATGCCACCAGCATCGA